TGGTTTAATTACTATTGGAAAATGCTTGTCATTCCTCTGTAGCATCTGGTCCCCACTGGACCCTCATCATTTCCTTCACCTGCTCCCCCCACCGACCAAACTGTGCAGCTCTGCAACTGCATGCATCCTGGCCCATCCTCATCCTTCTGCCCCCAACCCTCACCTCCTTGTACCCCCAATATGTTTTTCCCAATAAAAAAAATATTAAAAACAAAAATAACGCATGTAAAAGTTGGACAGTGAATAAGGAAGAATTGATGGCTTTGAATTGTGGTTTAATGCACCATGAACTGCCAGAAGTAATGCACTCAGGAGTGCTCCTTCCACATGAGGATGATGAGACTTTGTGTCATGTACTTGGAGTGTATTATCAGGAGGGGCCGGTCACTCGGGAAGGTTAAAGGTCAGCAGTGGGAGGAAGATCCCCAGCATGAAGGACTGACACAGTGCCATTGGTTCATGAGAAGGAAGTCTAGCATTTCGGCAGGCCCTGAGTTGATCTGTCAGTTTAGCAGTGTCAGCCTGCTGTGTTAGCATCTCCTAATGCTCTTAGACTTGCCCTCATGATCACAAAACTATTACTACTGCTTCATCCATAACTAGTGTTATCCAGGCAGGAATTTCTGTGGCTCCCTTGTTCCTCTATTCCTCAGTGAGGAAAATCTTTCCCAGGAGCCTAGAAGCTTCTCTTTACATCACATTGACCTTAGTCACATGACCATTCTAACCAGAAGGGATGGCTTACTTAGGCCCGTCATGGCTCATTCCCCAATGTTAGGCACTCAACTTTGTTTCAGAACTGTCTGCTTACATTTGTTGGGATTTTTTTTTGTCTGCTCAGTTTTGATTGTCATTTGCTTCTGCATCTTACTGACAGTGCCTCCATTTGGTTCTTTAAATTTTTTTTTTTTAAATGATGAGAAAAAATTGTATTTAAAATTAGCCAGCTGGACTCAGTTTAGATGATTCCAATTTTGTTGGCAACATCCAAAGCATCATAGTCAGGAGCAAGTTGAACAGAGGCCTTCTTCTCTCCATCAGCCCTAATCAAAGTGTTGACCTTGGCTGCATCAGTGTCATAGAGCTTCTTTACAGCTTATTTGATGTGGTGCTTGTTGGCCTTGACATCCACAGTGAACACAGTGTGTTGTTGTCTTCTATCTTCTTCATGGCTGACTCAGTGGTCAGGGGAGACTTGATGACGGCAGAGTGGTCAAGCTTGTTGTTTCTCCAGGGGGCACTCTTCTTGGGATGTTTGGGCTGTCTTCAGAGTCTGGGCGTCTTAGGCTGCCGGAAGTTGGTGACGTGCATATCTTTTTTTTTTTTTTTTTTTGCTGTGGACGCCCTTCAGGACTGCCTTCTTGGCCTTTAATGCCTTTACTGTGGCTTCAGTTTTGGGAGAGGCAGGGGCTTCCGTCTTTTGGCGCCATCTTTGTAGAAAGGTGGTCCTTTAAATTTTTAAGTGTACCTGTTTTATATTATGATTCTGATAGTTTCCGTGTACTGATGTTGTTAGGTGCCATGAGGTTGACTGTGACTCAGCGAACCTGTGAACAACAGGTTGGAACCCTGCCCTTTCCTGCGCCTCTCACAGTCTCTGTCAAGCTCAAAGCCATCGTTAGGCACTGTGTCAGCCATCTCCTCAGACACATCCCTTTTCCTTCCTCAAGCCTGCTGCCTCTCTGGCTCTCCCTTTTGGTAGAATTCACTAGTTGTTATGTGCTTTTGTTGTGTGTGGTTGAGTCTGAACCGACGAATAGCTGACCCTTGAGTGGGTTTTCAGAGGCTGTAAATCACATGAGAGGGGGTTGTCGTCTTTCTGCCATAGAGAAGCTGGATTTGAAGCAGTGACTTTGGATTGTCAGTATAACTAACTCCTTAGCATTAGGCCATCAGAACTCCCTAGAGTTCACTGGGGAGCAGCCAAAATAAAACCCCCATAACCACTACCAAAACCCACACCAAAACAAAGCCCAGCCAGAACTTTCTGCCTCCTGGCCGCCTCGGTTCACAAGCTGTTGACTGACAAGGGCAGAGATTGCCCCATCTTGTGGGGCAGCGGGCCGTGGGTTCAGCCTCTGACCTTCCCATGAGCAGTTAGAGATGCAGGGCTGCAGGCACTACCTGGGGTCGGACTGAGGTCTCCTCTCCACCCCATTTCCTCCTTTTATCTCTTGTGAGATAAAAGATGTCATAGGTCACACCTTAGGGAAATTCTTGCACAGGATCAGAGTTGTGATGGGGTTAAGAGATGTCACATTCCACCCTTAATCCATTTACAAGTATTTGGTGTTATCAGATCATGGGGATCATTGTATATATCCCCAGCACTACACAGATCTTGGCTAAACCAACCGGCCCGGGTTCTCACCCACTGCACCCTGTCTTTCCCTACCAGGTCCTTCTGGTCACCTCCTCTTTCATGTCGCCTTCTGAGAGCCGAAGTAACTCAAACCCCAACCGTGTTCGCATTTTTGGGCCGGACAAGTTGGTGCGGGCAGCAGCTGAGAAGCGCTGGGACCGGGTCAAAATTGTATGCAGCCAGCCCTACAGCAAGGTACTGTGTTCATGGGCTCGGGTGCAGACTGCTTAATTCTGGGGGCAGAGGGAGCTGAGCGGCTCAGTTCTGAGTCCCATTCCCCCTGGGATTATGTAGAAGCTGAGTTTCATGGTTCCTGGGATGGGGCTGAGATTGTGTGAGGAGTAAGGGGACCCACATTGGTCCGTGCCCATGATGATGTGCCCTTGGATTCTGAGGTGGGGGGGGTTTAGGATATTAGGGTGGAATTGTGGGAGGGAGAAGCTGGCCTGTCAGAGGTGGTGGAGCATAGGATGTCTAGGAATAGCATCTTGAGATTAGGCCGGTGGGTTCAAATCTTGATGACACCACTTCTTAGCTGTGTGACCTTAGGCGAGTGACTTAACCTCTCTGGGCCTCCGTTTCCTAATCCCCATGGGTTGCTGTAGGTTATCAAATGTTCAGAAGTGGCACTAGGGTCATACCTGCTGTGCACATCCTTGTTCTGGGCAGGTGTCAGCCTGATGCTGGCTGCTCCCCACGAGTTCACCTGGGGACTCAGCCTCCTTCTCACTGCACTCTGCATCCAGCCAGCAGAAGAGAAAGAGCCTGGAACACAGACGGGACAGGCTGTGGCCCAGGCCAGACAGGACCCCAGCTCTCCTCTTGCTAGCAGGAGTCGGCTCAGTGGGAGTGAACCAGATGTGAGGGCTGAGCGAGCTGATGCGTGTAAAAGTCTTTGGAGCCTCCCCTCCACCACAGTTAGTCCCAGAAACAGTGTGATATTATTGCTGTCTTCATTTTCACTGGGACACAGGAAGATCTGGTGCCTTAGCAGTAAAGATTTGTGCTGCCAACCCAAAGGCACATGGTTCGAGTGCACCAGTTGTTCCACAGGAGAAAGATGGACCATCTCCTGTACAATTTACTGCCTTTGAAAATTTGCTGGCACATCAGTTATGGGTTGGTTCTCACTCAGTGGTACCTAACAGTAACAACAGCATGTCACTCGTGCACCTCCTAGACATGTGTGTCCATGAGAAGGAAGGAGATAGAACTTTCCAATAGCTGAAGGACCTTCAAACTAGGGCTCTAGTATCTTAGAAGGGCTACAACCCTGACTTCCATCCTTCCTTCACCAGGACTCCCCCTATGGCCTGAGCTTTGTTCGGTTCCACAGCCCCCCAGACAAAGATGAGGCAGAGACCTCAACTCAGGTAAGCTCTACCCACCCACCACCAACAGAGGCCTTCTTGCTCCCCACCTCTTCACTTCCACCTGCTGACAGTCCACCTACTGACCTTGTGGACCTTAGAAGGTGACCAAGCTTGGCCAGTTTCGGGTGAAGGAGGAGGACGAGGGTGGCAGCTCCCTGAGACCAGGAGCTCTCTTCTTCAGCCGAGTTAACAAGACACCCCCAGGTGAATGCAGCAGACTTCTTTCCTGGATCTGATAGAGGAGAGGCCTGCAGGTTGGACTCCTGGGTCTGAGGGAGGAGTCAAGGGTCTGGACCCCTACGTCTGAGGGAGGAAGATTCTAGGGGTCTGGACTCCTGAGTCTGAAGGAAAGAGGTGACTGGGGTTTGGACTCCCAGGTGTGATGGAGGAGGGAGCTTGGAGGCTGGACTTCCTGGGTCTGAGGGAGGAGGGAGGTGAGAGACTGGACTCCTGGGTCTAAGGAAGGAAAGGGCTGGGAGTCTTAACTCCGAGGTCTGAGATGGGAGGGAGCTGGGGTCTGGACTGTTAGGTCTGAGGGAGGAGGGGCTGGAGGCTGGACTGTTGGATCTGAGGGAGGAAGGGCTGGGGTCTGGACTCTTGGGCCTGAGGGGGAAAGGGCTGGAGTCTGGATTCCCGGGTCTGATGGTAGAGGGGGCTGGGGGTTGGACTCTTGAGTCTGAGGGAGGAGGGGCCTGGGGACTGAACCTCTGGGTCCGAGAGAGGAGGGGGTGGGAGCTGGACTCTTGGGTCTGAAGGAGGAGGAGTCAGGGGGTTGAACTCCTGGGTCTGAGGGAGCAGGATTCTGGGGGTCTGGACTCCGGGGTTTCAGAGAAAAGGGAACTTAGAACTGAGAGTTTTGGCTCCTAGAACACTGGGTTTTGCGGATTATGCTCATAATCCTTTGGGTGGGAGCTGAAGGGTCTCATCCTCCTCCAGCTACGACCAGCAACCAGGCAGGACCCAGCTACGCGGCTGCTATGCTCCAGGCTTCTGGCACTGCCTCCTCAGTCTCCATGGCCTCCAGGGCTGTAGGTAGTACCACTAAGGTGAGACCATCAGACACTGGGGAGAGGGTAGGGAAGGACAGAAGCTGGAGAACTCACCCCACCTCTGTCCCCTCCACTCAGCCTCAGGAATCCCCCAAGGGGAAGAGGAAGTTGGATTTGAACCAAGAGGAACGGAAGACCCCCAGCAAACTGTCCACCCAGCCCTCACCACCAGCCTCCAAGAGAACCAAATGTGAGCAGACCTGATGCCTTCATGGGAGAAAGGAACTGGGGCCTGTGCTGTATACAGGGCTATGCGGGGCTAGGGTCCCGGACTACGTGCTCAAGTTGCTGGCGCTAACAGAACCTTTCTTCCTCTGGTTTCTCCAGTGCCACCTCCCTCCCGTAGCCCAGCCTCGGCCTCATCTCCTGCTCCAGCACGTGGTCCAGTGGCAGGGAAGCCCCGGAGAGAAGGCACTGAGCCCAAGAAACCCCAAACTGGTCCTCAGGAGCTGGGCAAGATCCTTCAGGGTGTGGTGGTGGTGCTGAGTGGCTTCCAAAACCCCTTCCGCTCAGAGCTCCGGGACAAGGCCCTGGAGCTGGGGGCCAAGTACCGGCCAGACTGGACCCCGGACAGCACCCACCTCATGTGAGCCTGTGCCCCTTGCTCCCATCACGCTTCCTCCACCTCTCTTGTCTGTCTCTCAATTTCTGTCTTGTCTCTCTGTCTCCTTTCCCTCTGCTCCTGCATCACCGTCTCTCCCTCAGTTCCGCTGTCTCCTGACTCTCCTCTGTCTGTCTCTCTTCTCATCTTTATCTTCTCTGTCTCCTCTGTCTCTCCCTTTGTCCCTCAGGTCATACCTGACTGATACCCCTCTATTCTGCCCCCATCAGCTGTGCCTTTGCCAACACCCCCAAGTACAGCCAGGTCCTGGGCCTTGGTGGCCAGATTGTGCATAAAGAATGGGTGCTGGACTGTCACCGCATGCGCCGGCGGCTGCCCTCCCGGAGGTGAGGCTTTACTGTTCATGGATGATGTGCACTCCCCTACCCTCCCACCCCACACATATCCCCCCACCCCACATACCCCACCACCACACATCCCTCCACTACCTCCACCACCACACATACCCCCATCACCACACATACCTCTATCACCACACCCCACCACCACATCCTCCCCCACGTCCCCACCACACATATCCCCCTACTACCACACACCATCCCACCCCCCCCACACCCCCACACACACCCCCATTTCCAGTTGGGAATGCCAGGGATCCAGAGATAAGCCTTGCAGGCAGAGAACATAGTGGTCCCAACCCAGAGTGGACAGGCTTCTGAGAGGAGGGGCCAAGGACTGGGGCCTCCAGAGGAGACCAGAGGCTTGTCTACGGGGGTCATGGAAGGTTCCATGAAGCCAGTTAGTGGAGAACAGTGTGTTCTTTGAGACAGGAGGAGCAGTATATATATGTAAAGGCTTGGGGCAGGGGAGCTCGGTGTTAGGCCCAGGGCCCCACTTAGCTTGGTGCTAGGCAGGCTGCCCCTGGAGGGCTCCCAGATCCCCACTGACCTGGCACTGCCCCCTCGGGGTCTCAGGTTGTTGGGCTAGACTTGCTATACTATAAAGCACAGCAGGGGAGCGTGGGGCAGCATGACGGCCTAAGGGGAAGGCACAAGTGAGGAGTCTACGAAGAGGATTCAGGTCAGGGCGAGGCTCATGCCTGGAGTCAGCATGATAAGGAGTCGGAGCTGGGCTTGCACTGTGAGGTGACCTGTGCCAGATGTGGCTGGGGCAGCAGGAGCCATGGGAGGCTTTTGATCTGGGACGGGACGGACCCACATCTGTGGCTTGGAGGACATGCTGACTCCTGTTCCTGGAGGGAGGACCAGCCTTGAGTTTGTCCAGAGGTGGGTGGTACTTGGAGCATCTGAGAGACAGTTTGTGGAAGAGAGAGAGACTGGGGGCCTGAAAGGAGCTGCCTCCCCCAGATCTACCACCTGCCTCCTTCCCTCATGTGGACAGGAATCCAGAGAGCCCATTCCTGTTTAGTGCTGTTCACTGACCTTGTTCTGCAACAGGGTAGTCAGTAATGTGTGGACTCCAGCACACTGTTTATGTCTTTGAATCCAAGGTTTCTGGTTTTGTATGTTCTTTCTGGAAATTGGAAAGTGTTTTCAAAGGAAATAAACCAAATAGGGAAAAAAGAAATAAAAATTGAGTGTTGTAGAAAGGGGCATGGCTCTCCTATCTTAACCACAAATTGAGGAATGTTTCTTTGTCTGGGTTGGTTTTCAAGTAAAAGCACCTTGAAAAGAGCTTAGTAAACATACCACTGACTTGTCAGTGATCCACTTCAGCTTTGAAAAGATCGAGAGCTGCTGTCATGTCGCCTTACCTCGATGGTGTGTTCAGGTCCATGGTTGCCTCTGTCTGCCTGTCCACCTCACCAAGGGTCTCCCTCACCCTGTCCTTCTGCTTCATCAAATGCAGTGTCCTACTCTAGCAAGTGCCCCTTCCTCATGAAACGTCCTGCTTGGTAAAGTTGAGGGACAGCAACAAAAGAGGAAGTCTCTCAACAAGGCTGACTGACCCAGTGCCTGCTGCAGTGGTTTAAACACAGCTGAGCCTGGAGATGGACAGACTCAGGCAGGTTCTATTCTGTTGCACGGAGGGTCGCTGTGAGTTGGAACCCATTTGATAGCACAGCTAACAACAACAGTGACATGTCCAAAACTGCCAAATCAGACAGTGGCCTGCGGTGATCCATATAGTTTTCATTGGTTAATATTTGGAGTGCTGAAAAGTAACGATGTCAGTCTAGAGACTAAGGTGCACCTGATCCAGACCTTGGTCTTCACATTTGTTATGCAACAGAGAACTGGACAGTGACGGAGGATGACAGACAAAGAATCAATGCCTTTCATTTGTGGTACTGCAGAATAATCTTGAACATACCACTGACTGCCAAGAGAACAATCATGTCTGTCCTGGCGAGGGTAAAACCAGGTCGTTCCTTGGAGGCAAGGATTTTGAAGTTTATCTCACATGTTTGGGCATGTTGCCATGAGGGACAAGTCCTTAGAGAAGGACATCATGCTTGGAAGAGTAGAGGGACAGTGCTAAAGAGGAATACCCTGGATGAAATAGATTGACACAGTGACTGTGGTAATGGGGGCAGCTGTGTTGGAGGTAGTGAGACCAGCTTCGGATAGGGCAAGGTTTAGAGCTCCTGCTCATAAGATTGCAATGGTCATAGTTGACTAGACAGCACATAACAACAACAGCAATATTTGGAAGTAGATCACCAGGCCTTTTTTCCTGGTCTTAGTCTAGACGCTCCACCGAAGCCTGTCCACCATGGAAGACCCCACTTACATTGCTGTCAAGTTGGAACTGACTCATAGCTAACTCTCCTTTGGGTTTCTGAGACTGTAAATCTCACAAGAGGAGATTGCTCATCTTTGGAGCCACTGGTAGATTTGAACCGTGGCCTTCACTTTACCAGCTCAGCTTCCTACGGACTACACCACCAGAGTCCCCTAGCTCACAGCTGCACAGTACAGCAGCTGAGCACGTTAACCAATGATGCTCCAAAAGTCCCCGCAACAGTGCTAGTGGTGTTACTGAAATTAGAAGAACTATTTTTGAGTGACAGTGACTTAAGGAATGAGGAATGCTGTATCAAAGACTTCAAGAAATGTATTTGCTTTGAAATTTTCCCTTCGTTGGCAAACACTCCGAATGAGAAACTGATTCTCAAAGAGGAAAATGACCCCGATTCATTGTCCCTTGGAGCAAAGGGAAGTCTGAGTTGGTGTCTGGGAGTCGGGGGACCCTTCCTCAGTTAGGAGACAGGAAGGTTAGGACAATGACTGGGCTCAGGCCCTGAGGAGGGGGAGCCAGCCCTGGTGATCCCTCCTCCCTGGGCACTAGCCCACCTCCCCAAATACGCAGTGTCCTGCTCTCTGAGACCCAGTTCCTCCCCAGGTACCTCATGGCGGGGCCAGGCTCGAGCAGTGAGGATGAGGGGGATTCTCACGTTGGTGACAGCAGCGGGGATGAAGCCCCCAAGCTTCCTCGTAAGGTCTGAGGCCTCTTGCAGGGCTGGAGGGTGCGTGGGGGACGGAGAACGCGAGTCAGCTGTGGTACCTTAGTTTTCACTCTTGCTCCTTGTATGCACACCCTCCCACCCTCCTCACACTCACACCCTGCTATTCCTGCTCCTTGAGGACCCTGCACACTTATGTGTCCCACTTGCCCTATTTAGCGTCCCCAGGCCAAAATTAAGTCCCCTCAGACAACAGGACCTAGCTCACCACAGAGGTCCCCAAGCCCTGAAGAGACCAAGCCACCCACACCAGGGGGCCAGGAAGAAGATGAAACTGAGGGGGAGCAGTCAGGTCAGAGCCTGAGGGGAGTGGAATGGGTCTGGGTGCTGGGGTTTCTGGGTTGAGAGAGGAGGGAGCTGGGGGCTAGGACTCCTGGAATTTGGGGGGCAAGATGGAGATGCTTGGAGGCCTAGGTCTGAGAGAAGAGGGAGCTGGGGGCGTGGACTCCTGGGTCTGAGGGAGGAGGGAGCTGGGGGCCTGGACTCCTCGGTCTGAGGGAGGAGGGAGCTGGGGGCCTGGACTCCTCGGTCTGAGGGAGGAGGATCTCAATGTCTAAACATCTCAGTCTGGAGGTTTAGATTTGGGACCGGGGTTCCTGGGGCTGTGCTCGAGTATGACACTGGGGAGGATTACCAGCTTCCCCCAAAGACAAGACATCCTTGTGTTTACTGAGTGTTCACTCGTAGGACAGGACAATGGGGCGGACGATTCTGGGGACACGGAGGATGAGCTGAGGAGGTAGGTGGGGGCTGGGGATTAGACTATGGTAGCACTGGTCTTGTTGTGGGGTCTGCATGCTAATCTCCCACCTCTCTCTGCCTCCCAGGGTAGCTGAACAGAGGGAACGGAAGCAGCCCCCTGCCCAGGAGGAGAATGGGGAGGACCCCTATGCTGGCTCCACAGATGAGAACACAGACAACGAGGAACCCCCCGAGTCTCCCACCCTGCCGATTCCTGAACTCCCAGGTGTGAACACTACCCTGTCCCTCCGGAAGTGGGATTAGTCCCTTGGTTCTCACCTGTGACCTGTCCCCCCCATGGGTTTGCTGCTGCCCCATGACTGCTCTCCCGCCCGCTGGTTGTCTTCAGACCTCCTTGTTGTCCTGGGTCGTTTCTCTTCATCATCCTCTCTTTCCACCTTTGAGTCCCTGCCCGTCACCCCATCACAGCCCAGCTCACCTCATTCAGGGTGAACGGCCCCTCCCTCGGCATCAGTCACCTGAGGAACTTGTGAAATTGGCAGATGCTCAAGCCCACCTGTCCATTCCATTGTTGGTCTCTGGTGGGGCTCGAACACTCACCTGTGTCAGGACCTAGGCAGTGGTTGCCAAGGTGTTCAGTTCTTCAGGACTTGTCACTTGGAATGGGTGCTCTGTGTGTACGTGTGTTGCTGATGGAAAAGAAACTATAGCAGAGGAAGTGGTAAACCTTCGGGGTCAGGGTGTGGTGGAGTAAGATAGGAAGGGCTGGGAAGAGAGAAGAAAAGTCAGAGGGTCTTAGGGGGCCCTGGAAGAGCCATGTTCCTGCTGAGTGATGGTCACAATGTTCTGTGAGCCTCCAGAGTCTCCAAAACAGTGCTGCTGTAACACAGACACCACAAGCGGTGACTCTGATCAGAGCCTTACTTTCCCCCAGCCCAGATTCAGGCCATGAAAGTAGGGGGAGGCCCTTTCTTGGCTGTTTCAGCTTCTAGATGTTAGATGCTGCAGGATTGGTTCTGACTTGGCCCTTCACACAATAGAACAAAACACTGCAGGTCCCTGACATCCCCACAAACCAGCGGTGCTTGTTGTAGTCCTTGTTGATGCATCTGCTCCCATTGTCTGTCTCTGCATGTGTCTGTGTGTCCACTCTTTTTCTTTTATTATTATTTTTTGTGTGTGTACTGTCAAATAGGATCTGACTGGTACAGGAGTACATTGCCCCTCCTCCAGCAGAGCATCTGGTGGATTCGAAATACGTACCTCTGGGATTGCAGTGCAGCTTCTTGCCACTAGGCCACCAGGGCTCAGCATCAGCCTTCCTGCCCTGCCTTGACCTCAGGTGTCCTGTACCTCCAGGCTGGGACCTCACTCCCCTCCCTCCTAACTCCCTCCCACAGATTTCTTCCAGGGCAAACGCTTCTTTCTGTATGGGGAGTTCCCTGGGGATGAGCGGCGGATGCTTGTTCGATACGTCACAGCCTTCAACGGGTCAGTCTTTGTGGGCTGCCATGGGATTTGGAATGTGGCGGGAGATGAGCAGAAAGACGAGGAGAGGCATGCCCAACAGAGTGGCCACTGGGCTTAGATGCCAGCTCTGCCCTCTGCTGGGCAGCCCTGGACACCCTGGCTCCTGTCTTTGATTCCTGTACTCTGTAGTGAAGGTCATGTTACCCCCAAGGGTCCCTGTTCAACTCTGAGAGTCCTGAGTCCTGTTCCCCCTGAGGGCTCCTGTTCCCCACTGAAGGTTCCTCTCTGATTATCCCCATTCTCCCTTGAGGGCCCTTGTTCCCCTCTGATCATCCCTGTACCCCTCTGAGGATCTGTTTGCCTCTCTGATCATCCCTGTTCCCCTCTGGTTGTCCCTACTCCCTGCTGAAAGAGCTGAGATGAGAGTTTGTAACAGAGAGCTGCTGTTACTGTGACTGTGACAAGAAGGGGGTGTAGGGGAGCAGGGAGTCCTTGTAGGTGGTGGAAGGATGCTGAGGGAGGAGCACCTTTCCCTGACGACCCCTCTGCCTCCTTCCCTCTCCCACCAGGGAGCTGGAGGACTATATGAGTGATCGGGTCCAGTTTGTGATCACGGCACAGGAGTGGGACCCCAGCTTCGAGGACGTGAGTCCACAAGGGGAGGGGACGGGAAGAGGCTGAGCCACCTCTGCACCCCCACTCTTTTTTCTCGCTCACATTTGCACACCCCACCCCACTCCCCCACCCCCCGCCTCACAGGCCCTGATGGACAACCCCTCCTTGGCTTTTGTCCGCCCCCGCTGGATCTACAATTGCAATGAGAAGCAGAAGTTACTCCCCCACCAGCTGTATGGGGTGGTCCCCCAGGCCTGAATGCTCACTCACACACACACACACACAGGATGTATTTAATAAAGCTGACCTGGCTTTGAGCTACTGTCCCCTCTCACACAGGAGCCTCCAAGAACCTTCAGGAGGCTCTTGGCTTTTGGTCTCACGTTTGACATTTGTTCCCTTTTTTCAAGAGGGGGAGGACTCTGGGGTGCCTGTCTCAAGACTTCTGGCTGGGGTCCCAGGAAGATGGGGACCCCTCCATCAAGGGTCTGGTGGGGAAGGACAAAGTCAAGTGCTTCTTCCCACCCTCTTCTCCCCCTGCTACCACCTTGTGGGGAAGAAGGGGATTGAAATTCTGATACTTGGCACCAAGTCTTCGCTTGTCGGACCCATTGAGCCTGTCAGTGTGTTACTGTTCCTGGGCCGGAGCTGGCCTCTCGCATTCTCACACACAGTTGCCACCAGTGAGGTTTTACATCATAGTCATTGGGAATTCGCCACCATCTGGTCAGTCCACCCATAAGGAGCCCATAGGACAGAGTAGAATTGCCCAGGAAGCCCACGGGCGAGATCTGCAGGGGCAGGGGAACCATGGACGCTACCACATCTTTATCCAACAGCAGCAGGAGATTAGGAATACCAACTTTCTGGTTATATTAGTCAAGTGCTTTTAACCGTTGCATAATGAGGACTCCTTGAAAGCAAGGACAGGACATTTAAATCAGCCACCCAAATCCATGACACGCCCTCCCCCCAAGGTTCCACACACTGAAGTTGAGAAGTCAGCTGGGTCTGAGAATGGAGCAGGGGTGGGGTGATGTTCTGGGAAGGGCATCGGGAGGACAAAGGCCGGAAGGTGGGAACCAGGTGCAGGCAGGTCTCTTAACCACTGGATGCTCATATCTCTTAAAAGTTAATTAAAATGAAGGGAAATTCACTTCCTCAGTCCCATCCGCCACATTTCATGGGCTGAGCAGCCACTGGTGGCTTCTGTCCGGAAGGTGCAGCTAGGGGCCTGGCAGCCTGCGTGTCCCCCCGGCATGGTGGGGATGGGGGCCAGCAAGGGTTTTGAGCAGATAGTAGGGTCGGAACTAGGTTTTCTATCTGCACTTTGGATAGCCTGGGACTCCCAAAGCCTTTACCACCTTTCACCTCACAGGCCACCAAATGCTTCCGTTCTCACCTTGGTGTTTTTTGGGAGTTGGGGTAATGGTGTGATCGCTCATTCAGTTTGTTCATTTGCACGTGCTGAGCACCTCAGAGTCTTAGGTTGATACCGAGGCTGTAACAAATGACCACACGTGGTGGTTTAAACAACACAAATTTATTCTCTTACAGATCTGGTGGAGGGAATCTGAAATGGGTCTCGCAGGGCTAACAGTCAAGAGGCAGGCAGGGCTGCATTTCTCCCGGAGGCTGGAGGCAATAGTCCATTGCCTGGCCTCTTCCAACATCTCTTTTGTCCCCAACACCAGTAATAGCCAGCCATGTGTCACATCAGTCTGACATGGACCCTTCCTTGTGTCTCCTTTCTTGGATTTCATTGGGCTTTCCCAGATAATTCAGGATTACTCCCTATTTGAAGGTCAGTTGATTAAACTCATTACCACTAAATCAAAACTGACTCCTGGCTGACCCTCCATTGGGTTTCCAAAATTACTTTCACCTGCGGAGCTGCTGATGGATTCGAACTGCTGGAGAGACAGCCTTTGGGTTAACTTGCTATGGATGAGGTTTGATGGGAGTTTGATTCCATCTGTTACCTTAATTGCTTTTTGCCACTTAACTCCCCATCCCACAGTGCTAACCACCTGCTCACCTCTGCAACATGCAACATGGGTGGCACTGCCGTTCTGCAAAGATGGAAAGTGTCTTACAGCTGCATAGTATTCTGTTCAGTGCATGTGTTGTAAATTGTTATTTGCCATTGAGTTGGAACTGAATGATAGGTTTTTGGAGCTTGTTAATCATACAGGAGGGATTGCCACTCTTTCTCCCAAGGAGCAAACTGAATTTGAACCCTGGGGGTCTTTGGGTTGGCAGCACAATTCCTTACCACTGAGCCTTGACTCAGATTGTCTTGGACCACAACCATTAGTGAAATTTCTTGACTTTGTCTTTTTCCTTCCCTATTCTTGACTGTCTGTAGGCTAAATTCCTAGTAGTAGAAGAATCCTTGGCACACTTACTTTAAACTTTTGATTGCTAGCTGCCATGGAGTCAACCCCAGCTCCCAGTGACACATGCAACTGCCAACACTGGTTACAGAGTGGCTGTGATCTCTAGGGGGGTTTGCAAGTAGAACACCAGGCCTTTCTTCTGGGCCATTCAAGTCTGGAAGCTCCGCTGAAACCCATTCAGCATCACAGCAAACAGACAAGTCATCACAGCACAAGAGGAGCGTTGGCTGGGACTTGAACTGGGGTCTTCCACATGAAGGGTCAGAATTCTACTACTGAACTATCAATGAAATGCAGATACAGTCGGTGACCAAAGTGGAAGCACTGATTTAAACACACATCAGGAGAGAGGCTGTTCCCCTAGTCCTCAACACCCTACAATGCTAGCTAGTTTCCTCTGCCAGTGATAAGCAGGAGAAATCAGCCAGGGCTGGCAAACAACTCCTGTCCTGGCTTTGGGTGGAGAACTCCCCTTTGAGTGACAGCTCCCTCAGTCCAGAGCAGGTAAGCAGGTTTCTGAGCCTTCCAAGGGTCAGCCCCTCCCTGCTTGCTGGCTAGCAGCTGCCAGTTCACTTGCCCAGCCGACTTAGATGCCCTACCATTCTGGTGGAAGAGAGTGCCCTTAAGCCAAAGGAGGGTTCATTCTCGCTCCCCCTGGCCCTCGGCCTGGTGGTGGCTGCGTTGGTGGAGGAGCAGAAGGCGTCTCTGACCAAAGGCCTGGCTACAGCTGGGACAGCGGTGTCGCGCAGTGGCCTGGCTGCTGGGTGCAGTAGGGGGGTCATGACATAGGCGATGGGCGGCCAGTTTGGAGGGGAACGAAAATGCCTTGGGGCAGTGTGGGCAAGGGTAAGGGCGGGCATCGGTGGCATGATGCGTGTGGCGGTGGGCCGCCAGTTTGGAGGGATAGCAGAAGGACTTGGGGCAGTCTGGGCATGGGTAGGGGCGGGCTGGTGCGTGTGTCCAGAGGTGGGCTGCCAGTTTGGAGCGGTGACCAAAAGCCTTGGGGCAGTGTGGGCATGGGTGGGGGCGCGCACCACTGTGCGTGAGGCGGTGGGCTGCCAGCTTGGAGGGGTAGGAGAATGCCTTGGGGCAGTCGGGGCACGGGTGGGGGCGGGCCCCACCGTGGGCCAGCCTGTGCGTGGCCAGCTTGGACGGGTATGAGAAGGACTTGTCACAGTCGGGGCAGCGGTGTGGGCGCTGTGGTGGCGGTCGCCGGCGAGGTCGGGAAGGCACCCCAGGAGATGCGGTGGGCCCTGGATTGGTCTGGCCGGGTTTCTGCTGGGGGCTCGGATGGGGAGCTGGGGAACAGCAGGGCTGGTGGGCTCTAGGAAGCAGCTCAAACTTGAACCTAGGGCAGCCCCCCCCCCCGCTTCAAGAGGACCCATAAAGTGTATCTGGGCGCCCCAAGTGCCAAACTGAGGTTCCTAAATGCATGCATCGTCCTGAGGGTTTCTAAAGAGTCACCCCGATCCCTCACACTTCCATGGATCGCTATCATCCCACCTAAAATTCCACATGCTATATGCGCATCTCTCCTGCTTATTCTTGAGCGGGGGAAAGATCACTCTGAACCTTCAGAGACAATATTCCATTGCAGGAATCCCAAATGGTCCCTCTCCTACACTGCGAGACCCCCAGAAGTGTCTTTCTGGAGGGTGCGTCCACCACAAGCAGAATGCTCTCACCTCCTCTGGGGACTGGCTTCTTGTCAGTGGGACTAGGGTCCATGCCTTCAGACTCTGTGCTTCGTTCCAGCATCTTGTCAGCTGAAGGACCTAGGGACAGGTCCTGGGGATCAGGGGACGATGCCGGTGATGCTCGAGTGGAAGGTCCTGAAAATGGGTCAGTCTGTTTAATAAGAGCCGGGTCTGAGGAGGGTGGACACTGCGGGGGTGGGAAGGAAACAGGCTAACCAGTGGGCGGGGCCATGCAAATATTACCAAGTCACAGGCACTTTGCGACTTGGTAAAATTGGAGCCTCAAGGTTGGAACCTCTGAGTGGAGGAGGTGGGAAATTGGCAATACAAATGCAGCTGACAATCTGGGCACGTGGTGGGCGGGGCTGAAAGCCAGCACCTTTGATGGGCGGAGCTATGCAAATATAACCAAGGCAGGGTTTCTGCAATTCGGACCAGGAGGCGGGCCTAAACGTGAGTGGGTGGGGTCTCGCGACTCTATCCCAGGGAAGGGGCCTATGCGCGCAGTGGGCGGGGCTTCACGTCGAAGAGGTCGCTTTACCTGGCTCTTAGTAGTAAATGGATTCAGTTTTTGCTGCGAAATGTGCTTCCTTGTGCATAATGGAGGGTGGAGAGGAAACCTGGAGGAAGGAATGTGGGTTATATAGAGACCCAGAAGATCTCCCTCCCTGGGGTCTCGAGTTCCGGCCTCGATGCACTAGCATTTTGGCCCAGTGCACCCTCCGGAGCCTAGGCATCTGGCCCCCCATTAATCCCCCTCCAGGACAGGGTGGCGTCCCAATCTATTTCCCTAGGACCCGGGCATCCCCTTTTCCCCCTCACCTGCGGGGACGGCCCCTCCCCAGGGGCGGGGCTCCGGGCCCCTCCCGCCCGGCCGTGGCCGCTGAGCTGCCCTCGGATCCCGCGGAGCTGCACCACCCTGCGCGCGCGCGGCGATGGGGAAGGCGCGGGCCGGGAGCGCGCGAGCGGCTCGTCCAGCCTCATTTTCATTCCCTCCTCCCACGCTGCGCCGGAGCAGGCGCCCGCACGCACGCGCAGTCGCAGCGCGCGGAGGCTGCGGCCCACGCAGACGGGAAGGCGGGCGCGGGTGGGAGGGCGAAGCGGGTGAGCGAGCGAGCCGAGCAAGCGCGGAGCTACCTGCCCAGGGGCGGCGGGCGGCGGCCTACGGTGGCTGGCGGGAGTCAAGGACGTGCACGAGTTCACGTGGAGCAACGGCGCGTGGAGATCACCGAGACCGCACCGACACATGCACACCCAGCGCCCTACCCCCCACCCCGCTTAATCACGTCCCCCCTCTTCGGGAATACCACTGGAACCCCATTTCATCCCTGAAGGCCATTTCCAGGGCCCGCTGCCCACTCGCCTTTCAAGATGTTGCAAAAAATAAAAATCCGATAACAGGGAGGGGATTTCTGGATTCAAAGCGGCCTGGCACTCAACAAAGGGGACATTATTTGCACAGCGACCTGGCCCTATCAGAGATTCCTGCTTCCGCCCCACTCCACCACTTTGCACCCTCCGAGCTGATCCGAGGAAATAGAACCCAATGCAGGTCTTGAGTGGGCTGGGGTCTAGGGCCTTTCCCAGGGGACTGGTAATGCACTCTGCCGCCTAGCGCGTAACAGTGACCTTGAGATGCCCTTGAAAGTCCTGCAGGAATGGAACGCAGGCTCAGGGATCACGAGCCAAGGAGCCGTGAGTGGGAGTGTACTTTTCAGATACTCGATTTAACAGCCAGATGGCGTAACTGAATTGAGTTCCTGTCACTTTCTAGCTGTGTGACATTTCCTCTTCCAGGACTTCATTGGACCATAATAAAGTAGTTTTTATCCCAGGAATAGCAGATGTGCAGACCTATTCTTTGGTGGCGTAGAGAGTTGCGTATCTCAGGTTCGAATTCACTGTTGTTGATTGCCGTCCAGTTAAGCACGACTCAGCGACTCCATGAACAAAAGACCTGATGCCTTTCTATAACGGCGATAGTTTCCATAGGCATGTGGTTTAGAAAGTGGATGTCACTCCTGCTTCCAAACCTTTCCTTTTTTTTCCCCCCCGGTTTAAACTCCATTGCTAATTTTTTTTTTTAATCTTCCAAACCTTTCTTAAACTCCTTTCTTAAAGCTCCACCAAACACTGTCGACCCTGGCCAACCATTATGTGATTTGACACCCCAATGGCCAAAATTCAGCATCACAACAAACCCAGATTACCTTAGTACAGCAAGCTGACAGAGGAGTGATGCACAGTTTAGAATAATGTTCCTACAAAATACATTAGACTCACTTAGCAATGATTAAGTGCTGTCAAGTTAAATACAACTCATGAACAAAAACCCTGAACCCTGTTCTACAACTAACATCATTTCTCTATGTTCATAGAGTTTTCGTCGAATTCACTGGTCTTTATAAAATGAAGTGTTTTTTAGATCAAACACAGTAAAGCATTGTTGAAGATCATGCAAAAATGGCTAGAACATTGGCAAGAGAATTATCAGAAGTTCCAAAGCTGGCTTGAACTGAAAGTTCTCTGTTAATATATTTTTCTAGCCAGTTTTGGATTATCTTCAGCAATATTTTGCTGGCATGTGATATCAATGATATATAATTTTATTGTATCACAAGTTGCCTGTGACTGATAGCATCTCTGTGTACAACGGCTCTGAACCCTGCCCTATCCTGAGCCAGTCTCACTCCAACACACCTAATCCCATCGCCCCAGTTATCATGTCAATCCATCTCATCTGGGGTCTTCCTCTCCTGTTCTGTCCCTCCACTATTCCAAGCATGATGTCTTTCTCCAAGGATTAGTCCTTCCTGGCCACATGCCCAAAATATATGAGACAGAGCTTCAAAATCCTTGCCTCCAAAGAGATATTTGGTATCACCCTCTTCAAGACAGTCCTATTTGTCTTCTGTCTGTTCATGGTATGTAAAGTACTCTTCTCCAGCACCTCCACTCAAAGACATCAATTTTTCTTCCTTAATCATTGTCCAGGTCTCTGATGCATAGCAAGTAATTGTGAAGACCAAGGCCTGGATCAAGTGCAACTTAGTTTCTAGACTGACATAATTGCTCCTTAGCACTCTGGAGAGGACCCTGATGGCCGACTTCCTTAATCCAATTCATCTTTTGATTTCTTGACTGCTAGTGTCAAGAGATTGTGGAGCTGAGCAAGCTGAAATTGTTAACAACCTCATCCATCATGAAGCTACCAGTTGGCCCATATTAATGATAGTGTTCAATAATTTCCATATTCTATTGGATCGTCTTTCATGGGAGTGGAAGTAAATATGCATCTCTTCCATATTTAGACTAGTCAACTGTTAGTTGAAACATGTGAGGTGGTATCCCATCGATTCCTGGGGCCTTATTTTTTGTTGGTGCCTTCAATGCAACTTAACTACACTTCATTCAAGACGGGTTTATATATTTGCCACTTAATATATAAAAGGAGCCCTGGTAACATAGTAGATTAAGTACTGGCTGTTAACTGAAAGGTCATAGTTCAAACCTACCACCTCTGCAACAGAAAGATGGGGCAATTTCTTGCTGGAAGGCCACCATGCATAAGAATTGACTTGATAGCAAAATTTGCTTATTTTTAAATTATTTTCTTTTTTTAATGAAAATTTACAGACTTTGGATTTCTGTTCATTCATTGTTGCACTTTTCTCCACTCTCAACCTCCCGCCCATTTGCTCTTCTCTTTGAAAAGTAAAAGAAAAATTCTTTCATTGTTATACAATCCCTCCCCCCAGGTCCACTCCACTGTGCAGCCTTCACTCTGGACTCCTGTCATGACAATAATACTTAATCATACATCCCTCTTAAATGGTTCTCTCCCTCATCTGTTTCAATGCACTATACATAATTTATCCCATCTTTCTCAGTCTCCTCCCAACCCCGATGTCAGTCCCATTTTACAACAGTGGCACTATGCAATATTTGTCCTTTTGTGACTGATATATTTCACTCAGCATAATGTCCTCAAGGGTCACCCATTTTGAATAATATTGCATGAGTTCCTTGTTTTTCATTGCAGCTTCTCTATCCATTCATTTGTTGATGGGCACTTAGGTTGTTTCCAACTCTGCTATTGTGAACAAAGCCATGATAAACATGGGTGTGCAACTAATTATTTTCTAGAAACAGTTATAAATAGTTTATATGCTTTTCAATCCTTATGATAATGTGTAAGAGAGAGGTGTTACTATTGTTTAATGGAGGAGAAAAACGAGGTACAGAGAGGATGGTCTTTGTCTTAGGTAACACAGCTAGAAGGCAGGTAAGGTCAGAATTTGAACCCCTGCAGCTGGGTCACAGAGTCCATGTTATTTACATTTATGTTTTTGTAAAAGGAGCAGTGGTAACATGGGGAAGACAAGTCTGACTTCTACCCACTTCATAAAGGTCCTCATCAGTAACATCCATGCCACCCTCCATGCTCCTGCTCCTATTTCTAGGACTCATTGGCCCCAATGATCTTTGCAAACTGTTTCATACACTTTAGCCAGAATTTTGGCGTTTATTAGGGAAGTAGTTTTGGGAGGGGGAGACAAAGGATATCACATAGTAAAAGTCTAGTTTTAGTGAATAGCAGCCTCGAGGCAGATTAACAGCAAGACACAATTCCTCAGTGAGTTCAGACAACTTCTTAGTCAACAAGTGAAGGTCAAGTTCAGTTTAGCAGCACAATTAAACCTCTGGTTTCCTCAGTCTTCCATCAAGCCTTGTCTCATAGCAGTCACAGCCAGCTCTTCAATTCAGTCATCCAGGAGCAAAACCCTTTAATTTTGGCTCCATATCCAGGGTTCTGTCAGGCTACACCTTGTCTCTTCACAGTCTCTCCACCATGTGGAAAGTTCTCTCTCTTATATTGGTCCCACAGCTGCTGATGATTTGAAAGACTGTGTGTCCACACTTGAGGTAACTGGAGACCATGCCCCCCAGCAGGGGCTAACACAATGCATACAAAAGCCAATTTTTGAGCTCTGCAATGGTTACCCTTGACATGACCACTTCTAGCACTGTGGCTCTGGAGGGGTCCCTTGACCCATTACA